TAATATCGAGGATAGTTTAATAACTTAGTCAAGACAATCCAAAAAGACAGTACTTGTTTCCTTATCTGGATGATTCAACACTAAATCCCGATTTCTTAGAAAATCAAATAAATGAGATTTATGTTCTTTTGTGAGTAATCGTCCAGTTCTAGGTATTATGCCTACACATCATTTAAACGATCTACAGTTGTTTTGAATGGCTCATAATCGAGAGGAGAATTTTCTTCTCTGAATTCTCTTTTTATCCTATCACAGTGAAATAGATTGTATACCATAATTGCATAATAAGTAAACAGTACGAATTGATAGTAAGAAAATAGGTGTACTAGTAGTAGTGATAAGAATAATAAATTAACAAAAGTTCTAGTTTTAATGGGATGTGAAACAATCGCTCACATTTTGTTGCTTTACAAAAATAAACTTTTAATGTTTGATCTCCTTGTTCTCTGGTCGCTTTTCCTAAGTCTTCGTTGCATATCATATGTCATCAACTCTAGGATGCAGGCATATCCATTTGTCGAGTCTCAAATAGAACGAAACGAGTGTCCTGGTTTCCACTACTAGGTACCATCATCTCTACCTATAATGCTTGTGACTGAAGGTAATATCGAGGCAATCTGCACATGATAAACATATTCCAATAAGATAATGATCAATTGCGATGCTAAACATCAATGAGAATATTTAAACAACCAATAAAAAATTAATCTAAGTGAGTTAGTTTTATGTATCATATAAATACTTCAAATAGGTGTCCCAAGATAGGGCTGTGTGACCATTTTCAAACAAAGCTGAGGATGTTTATTCATTCGTTAGCAAAGTGACTTGGTAGTACTCCCACTATAGATATCTCTTCAGGAGCAACTGAATTCGTAGATACACATCAAAGAGGTAAACTCAGGTAATTTGTCCCTTGTTTGAGTAGATATCACTGGTCTGCTTACTTACTTACGTCTGTTACGCCTAATGGAGCAAAGGCCGCCAACTAGCATTCTCCAACCCACTCTGTCCTAGGCCTTCTTTTCCATTTCTATTCAATTTTTGTTCATTTTTCTCATGTCTATCTCCATTTCTCGGCGTAATGTGTTCTTTGGTCTTCCTCTCCCCCTTCGGCCTTGAGGATTCCATATGAGGGCTTGTCTTGTGACGCAGTTGGGTGCTTTCCTCAATGTGTGTCCTATCCACCTCCAGCGCTTCTTCCTGATTTCTTCCTCCACTGGGATCTGATTTGTTCTCTCCTATAGTAGGTTGTTGCTAATAGTGTCTGGCCAACGGATCCGAAGTTTTTTGCGTAGATAGCTGTTATTAAACACCTGTATCTTCTGGATAATAACTTTCGTAGTTCTCAAAGTTTCCGTCTCACACAGTAGAACTGTTTTGACATTTGTATTGAAAATTCTGACTTTGGTGTTGGTTGCTAATTGTTTTGAGTTCCAGATGTTCTTCAGTTGTAAATATGCTACTCTTGCTTTGCCGATCCGTGCCTTCACATCTTCATCAAATCCACCGTGTTCATCAATGATGCTGCCCAGAAATGTAAAGTTTTTTACATCTTCCAAAGCTTCTCCGTCAATTGTGATTGGATTGGTACATGCTGTGTTGTATCGAAGAATCTTGCTTTTCCGTTTGTGTATATTGAGACCTACTGCTGCTGAGACTGCTGCTACACTGGTCGTCTTCTACTGTATTTGTTGTTGCGTTTGCGATATAAGAGCCAGGTCATCTGCGAAGTCTAGGTCATCCAACTGCATTCTAGATGTCCACTGTATCCCGTGCTTCCCTTCAGATGTTGACGTTTTCATGATCCAGTCGATCACCAGGAGAAGGAGAGAGGGTGAGAGTAAGCAATCTTGCCTGACACCGGTCTTTACTTCGAAGGAGTTTGTCAATTGTCCTCCATACACGATTTTGCAGTTTAATCCATCATAAGAATTCCGCATGATATTGACTATCTTCTGAGGCACGCCGTAGTGTAGAAGCTTCCATGGGGTTGTTCTGTCCACGTTATCAAACTCCTTTTCCTAGTCAATGAAGTTTATATAGAGTGATGAATTCCATTCAATTGATTGTTCCACAATGATCCGTGGAGTTGCGATTTGGTCTGTACACGATCTATTCTTAAGGAATCCTGACTGTTGGTCGCGAAGTTGGGTGTCTACGGAGTCCTTCATTCTGTTTAACAATACCCTGTTGAAGACTTTTCCTGGTATTAAGAGATGAGTGATTCCCCCGTAGTTACCACAGTTGCTGAGATCTCCTTTCTTTGGTATTTTGACCAGAAGTCCTTCTTTCCAGTCTTTTGGTACCTGTTCCTCATCCCAAATCTTTCTGAAGAGAATGTGGAGTATCCTTGCAGTTGCCGCTACGTCTGCTTTCAGTGCCTTTGCTGGAATGTTGTCTGGTCCTGCTGCTTTGCCACTCTTGATTTGTCTGATAGCCATGCTGATTTCTTCAATTGTTGGTGGGCCAACATCAATTGGGAGGTCCGTGAGTGCTTCTTCGATGTTGGGTAGGTTCTGTTTGGCTGGTCGATTTAAGAGTTCTTTGAAGTGTTCTACCCACCTGTTTCGTTGTTCTTCAATGTTGGTGATTATCTTGCCTTCCTTGCTTTTCACTGGTCGTTCTGGTTTACGATGATTTTCAGAGAGTTTCTTTGTTGTATCATACAGTTGTCTCATGTTTCCTTCTCTTGCAGCCTTTTCCGCCGTCAATGCCAAATCTTCCACATATTTACGTTTGTCAGTTCCGATGCTCCTCTTTACTTGCTTGTTTACTTTTGTGTATTCAGATTGTGCCTTGGCTTTTTCTACGCTTGTTCGGCTGGTATTGATTGCTGCTTTCTTGTTCCTCCTTTCTTGAATCTTATCCAGTGTATCGATCGTGATCCAATCCTTGTGATGGTGCTTCTTTTGGCCCAGAACCTCATGACATGTGGAAGTGATTGCCTCTTTTATCTCTTTCCAGTTGCTCTCCATAGTAGTTTCTTCTCCATTGAGTAGATCATGAAAGGCCTGGAACTTATTGCTGAGGGTTATCTTGAATTTGTTGAGTTTGTCATTATCCTGAAGAAGAGCCGTATTAAATTTTTGTGATATTGTCCTCCCCGTTGTCCAGTGTTTCTTGAGTTTCAATTTCATCTTGGCGACCAGAAAGTGATGATCTGATGCTATATCAGCTCTTCTCTTTGTTCTCACGTCCTCTATCGTCCTCCTGAACTTTTTGTTGATGCAGATATGGTCGATTTGGTTCTGTGTGCTGTGATCCGGTGAAGTCCATGTGGTTTTGTGGATGTGTTTATGTGGGAATATAGTGCCACTTATGACCATTTTATTGAAGGCACATAGGTTTGCAAATCTCTCACCATTTTCGTTCCTTTCTCCCAGTCTGTGTCGTCCCATGATCTCTTCATATCCGGTACTGTCAATTCCAACCTTGACATTTAAATCTCCCATCAGAATAGTCAGGTCCTTTGTTGGGCACTTCTCGACGATTGACTGCAGGCTATCGTTGGATTGATCTTTAGCGTCTTCATTGTAGTCGTTGGTAGGCGCGTAGCATTGGATGACGTTCACTGTAATGCCCTCTTTCTTTGTTTCGAAGGGGGCTTTGATGATCCTTGGTCCATGAGATTCCCATCCTATAAGTGCATTTTGTTCTTGTTTGGACAGCATCAATGCAACTCCTTGTGCATGTGAGACATTCTCTTCTTCATGTCCGGAGTATAACAGAGGCTCCCCTGAAGCTAGTCGTTGTTGTTTGATTTGCGTCCAATGTGTTTCGCTGATTCCAAGCACCTCTAAATTGTATCTCCTCATTTCTGAAGCAATTTGGAAGACTCTCCCGGTCTCCCACATTTTACGAGAATTCCATGTACCTGAATAAATGGTTGCTCTGGTTGTCAGAAGGGGCATCGGCCTTGTGACTTCCGAAGGAACTCGACTTTCATCATGATGCGTCATAACTCTTCTAAACGAAGACCTTCTGACTCCCAAGGCAGAGTTTAAATGGTTTGAGTAATTTTTTCTGGTTAGCGTTTTTTAGAGTTAGTTTTCTACGGGATGGGATCGCTAACCCCATGCCCAATCCTCCTCCTTTATCCAGGCTTGGGACTGGCAGTAGCCCATGGAGGGACTCCAGGTGGAGCTACTGGTCTGCTAGGAAACGTCAATACAAAATTAGATGCGTAGAATTTCCTACTAACCACCGTCGCTAATCTATCATGCAGGATATTCGCTAGCCAAACCCCCGTTTAAATGTCGTTTTGGAAGAGGTTTCATACGACTAGTCAATATCTTCAACTTATTTTTTACCCTCATACATGAACTTTTTTAAAATCTTGGGTAGCCTATCTCAATCGGTATTTTATCAAGAAACTCCAACTCTTTTTTTATGGTATCAGTTGACCAGATCTTTATTGTTCTGCTTGTGAGGCATCTAACCACATTTCGTTTACGGTGAATGAGTGTAAAATCATAGAAATGTGTGTATGAGCAAGTAGAGGAGCTCTTTCTATACATGTATATTCTTAAGAAGCTATCACTCCGTCTACTTAATCAGATGTTAAGGAAATTTGGTTTATCGACACACTCGTTCTCATAGGTGAGATTGATTGCCGGGTGCACACTTTCGAACTGATCTAGGACTTCTTTATCAGTATTCTGATCTGCTGTAATAAATGTGTCGTCAGTGTGGCGATAGTACATATCTAGATTATTGATAGCCTCATCAAGTTGTTCGTTTCCTAATTTCATCAGGGAGAAATAAGCTAAAATTAGACTTAGATCTACGTATTTTGTCTTAAATGTGGCAAGTTTTCGGATTATTAGTTCGGATATATAATTGTAGAACCAGAAGAGAACTTCTGAAAGGAATATTTTCCGTTCATATATTAGTGATTATATATGATGGGGATGTTTCGATAATTATTATTCTTTCAATGTAAATGTTTATTTCCCAGTGTTATACTTTTCATTCTCCGTTAAAGCTTAGTAGTGATCATTAATAGTTCTGTAAACCGTAAAAAGATTTATAAGTATGTGCATATGTGTCAATAAAAAATTGGTCAATTACAGTCCTAACATCAATGGGTAGATCCAAACAACCAATACCAAAATGAATTAAATGTAAAAAGTATTGCTTCAAACTAATAATAATATTATTAGAAGGGGTTTTGTGGAGATTGTTAAGATCATGAGTCAATTGAACCTAGACCACTATGGAAAACCTGGAAACATAAACAGGAAAATTACCTCGACGGGTCAATATACAAACTTTCTTAGCTTTGTTCCTCTACAATACAAAAGGAACCTTATTAAGACACATCATAAAATCAAGACTATTTGCTCTGCGGATACGATTGAAGATGAAACAAAGATGTTATACATAACCCTGAAGGAAAATGGATATCCCGAGAAATTTATAAGTAAAAACATGGCCACTAAAAAACAGAATAGAGAATACCCAACTGTAAATAAAAAGCCTCTGTATATACGCTTACAATTCAGAGACGATGCACCGGGTGAAATGCTAAGACTCAAGTTAAGCAGATCAATTCAAAGGACTTTTAATGCGGGTGAACTACAACTAATTTTTTCCACACGACCAATAATCACTCCTAGGTTGAAAGATAAATTACCTAGACTAGCCACTTCCTTCTGTATCTACCAATTCAACTGCTCTTGTGGAGCAAGTTATATTGGCAGATGTTCTAGGAATTTGTACATTCGGGCTCGTGAGCACCTACCCGTGTGGTTAAGCAAAGGTATAGTCAAAACGGTTAACAGCTCCATCTTGGACCATCTAGTTCAGACAGGACATAAAGCGAATATGGAGCAATCTTTTGCAATAATCTATCGTGTTAACAGCAGTCTACCTAATTTCGTCAGACTGCGAATCCTACAGATGGCTGAAGCAATTGCTATTCGGATCAAAAAGCCAGAGCTTTGCATCCAAAAGAAGTATGTTCAACCACTCCTTTTACCCTGGCCAACTTTGGGGCCAACTAGTTAATAATCAATTTTATAATATGGTGACATAATCTGATTAATCTTCATTTTATGTCCCAAACTTATTATTATTATTATTATTATTATTATTATTATTATTATTATTATTATTATTATTATTATTATTACATTTGGTAACCTTTTTGAGGAATTTATTCAATATCCACCCCTAAATCTACTATATCTGACCTAATTCATATTATTCCGCATATTACGTAATTTCCGATTTTTATCCCAAAATTTTTTCTCTCAGCCCATGTTGACTATATTTATTCTGATTATTTATCTCACAATTTCATTTCACTTATAAACTGGTTCAAGTTAACACTTCATATTAGTCAGCTCCAACATTAACGATCTGATTTGATTTAATATATAACAAATAACAATTCTTAATTCACATATTACAGTTTCCAAATGATGTACTCTGTCTTAAATCTGGCCAATTCTATGGATTATTAATTTGGATTTATAATTGTAGAACCTGATGAGAACTTATTGAAAAGAATATTCTTCGTTCATACAATTGTGTTTTAATATAATGGGAATTTTTCAGCGATTAAAATATTATATTGAGCTAAAGTATTCACGATTTAGATATTTTAGTCATATAAGAATATATCCCTCAATATTCAATGATAATAGATGCGAAATTCGTCTCTGAAGATTCGCAGACACAGTCTATGCTGAACCCTTGTTTAAACAGGTTCAGATGTTGCTTTTGTATAGAGTAAGAATATGAGACGTTATGGATTGGGGGTGAACTATTTGTACAAGTAAACAGTGTACGCATCCCCATTTCATTTGAATCGATATTGCAACACACTATCCTACTATTCGCTACACCTATATAGTTAATTTCATCGTCTGTGTTTTTACGTAAATAATTAGCTAAACGATTATTACGTCATTATGATATTATCATGATGAGCGATAACCCAACCACTTATTTACTTCATTACTCTACTTTGCATTATTACTTTCAAAAATATATACACACAGCTCTCTTATATAAGTTTATACATACATTTTTTATCCTTGTCTTCTAATTGTTACGTTTCGAAAGTTTGTCTAGACTTCAAAAACTAGAGTATATCAACGACACTTGTTAATAATTATATGAAAAATTGCAATTTTGGGTTATATGTTGCTAATGAGAAACTGTGAAATAAAATGAACATTGTTGTTCTTGCTTGGTTTTAACTTATTATTGGATCTGGTCATATGATATTATTACATCGGCATCCAGTTTATTCAACTCTTCTAGGGTTACTGCCGAACCCAACACAGGTAAAGGAATAGGGTAGGCAACCACATCTCGTAGAAAACAACTTTGCTAAAAAGAACCCTAATTAGAATAAACAAGTTAAACTCTGTCCTCCTAGTTAATTGGTCTTCATTCAAAAGAATTATGACACATCATAGTAAAAGCCAAGATTCTTCGGAAGTCACAAGGCTAATGCCCTCCCTAACAACCAGAGCGACAATTAATATAGGTACGTGGCATGTTTGGACAGTGTAGGAAACCGGAATGACCAATCGAATAGATCAAGAAATGAGGAGATGCAACTTGACGGTTCTCAGAATAAGTAAAAACCATTAAAAGAAAGCCGAACAGAAAACGTTAGATTCGAAGGAGTTGCTTTTGTACTCTGATCACGAAGAAGAAAATGTCTCACAATGAGCTGCACTGATGATGTCCAAAGAAGCACGAAATGCACTTATTGGATGAGAATCTCATGGATCCAAAATCATCAAAACGTTATTCGAAGAAAGGACTATGAAATCACAATGAATGCTATCCAATGTTATGCACTCGCGAATGATAGAAATGAAGACGACAAGGATCAGTATTATGGGAGACTGCAATTGATTGTTGAGAAGTAACCAAGAAATGACCTGACCATCCTGATGGGAGACGTTAACGTCGAATTCGTAATGGGCAACACGGGATATGATGATATCATGAGACGAGATGGATTAAGTGGGAGAAAGGAGTTAGAATAGTGAGAGGTATTCAGATTTATATGCATTCGACAATAGCCTACTGTGAGATAGAATAAATCAACTTCCAGTTTAAGAGGAAATTAGAAAGATTGTTGAAAGTGGATAGGACATACACTTAGGAAATCATCAAACTGCATCATGAGGCAAACGTCAACTTGGAATCCTGAAGGAAAACGGAAAAGAAGAAGACCAAAGAACATACTGGGTCGAGAAGTGTATACAGACGTGAAAAGGATGATTAGCAACTGGAAACAAGTAGGAAGTATTTTCCAGAACAGAGTTGGATTGACAATGCTGGTGAGTGGCCTACGCTCCTCCATAATAGATAACAGGCTTAAGTAACTAACCAAATTTATTCTCTAGATTCTTATAAATGCTAATGTACTGGTGTTCACATTTTGTTGATTTTCACATCAAATGAGTTTTCTTCTCATAATACACGGGATTAACTATTAAACGTGTTTTAACAAGCGTTTAGCATCGATTTGTTTCAAACCTCATTCATCTTTGATAATCAACGCTTTCATTGTTGAAGACTTTAGCACACTAGCACTTTGTCTTTTTGTGAATAGAAGCTAAATATTGATTAATCTTCTTCATTCATTAATAAGTCTGGTTACTTAAAAAATTTACTCCAAATATGTGAACCAACTAAGGCAACTTTTACAGAATATGATGAGAATCGTCCAACGAAAATTATTCATTTTCCATAGAACCTAACCAGTTAGACTGAAATAAAAAAGCTTGCGTATTGATCGAATTGTGGCTATTTTGTTTAAATTCCATTCTTCACCATTTCGCCCCGTAGGAAACTTCAGACCAAATTTCATTAGTAGGGCTTCGATTAGTTTGCTGAGAAATTTTATTGACATTGTCAATTTTTCGGTAAGTCTAAAATCAATTAAAACGTACAAAAAAGATGTTTCTCGATTTCCCTATAAAACTCAGAACATTCCGAAAAATCAATCGTGACCCGAACAACAGACGTTTTTCAATTCATTTTTCTTATAGTAGCATTGTCAGGATAGTATTATTTAAGCCAATCAATGTTTATCATTATCTGTTGTTGTATAATCATGTCCATAAAAATGTTTAATTTATGTCTGTATATGTGTGTACACATGGGTTGCATATGACCAAATGTTATTTGGTATTTAAAGCCTCAAATACTATTGACTATTATTTTAATGGCGTCAACTATATTGCGTAAATTTTATCAACAGTCTGTAAGTGTTATTTTGATATGAATTCATTCATTATATTTATTGAATAACTAACAGTACGTTTCATGTGCTTAAAATATGGGATAATATTTATATTCAGTAGATTGAAACTGAACTACCTCGTCGTGCTATTTTCTATTTCGCTAATATGTTAGTCAAATTGTAGTGGAATACCTTCGAAATATTTCCTGTACGTTGTACAACAGTTGTTTTGATAACCTTTATCATTATGGCACAACACAGAACAAACGACCACTAAGCACACGATGAGAATACGAATAAATGAATAGGAATTAAGAAGTACATATACGTAAGCATGCAAATGAGTCATTGCACGCTTTGAACAACTAACATTTAAGCTAGGTCCAAAGAGGGTAGTAAATTAGTATCGTGATTCAAAGTTAGAAGTTAGGGTTTTGAATCAGAGATAGGATTTTCATCATAGACTGATATCGGCTATAATGCAAAAATGCTATTTGACCATAATTATCAATGAATTTTAAACCATAATCCAAGTCTCACTATCTTGAATATGATTGGTTTGTCTACATACGATTTCTCCTTATGTGTAAAAATTACCTATAAATACAATTGTGCAGCTAAACAAATAATATTGTCTAAAAGAATGCTTTTGTTCCTCGCTGAAATGTCTTCATTCTTTCTTTCAATGAGTAAATAGGTTTCTTTAGTCGTTAGAATATTCCTTGCATCATTAATTGACCGAGCTCTCTTGAATGATTTGATAGTGTGGGTGTTTTTGTACTTAGATAATGTTGCTGTTTCTAAAGTAATCTTATTTTCTACTGATAAGTTTCACTGCATACGTATTTTAACGTATATATTTGGAATAGAATATTGTTAGAAACAGCATTAATATTACACTGATTACGTCTTTACTGACTAATATTACTTCTAAATTGAGAGGCTGTAAGCTCCACTATAACCGTTATCTTTTATTAGATAAAGATTAAAATGAATTATTTACCTTTTAACATTTCCACTTGAGGGTAAACTTTAAGATTAGAATTTTTAAAATCTCACCTCTTTATTTAGTTCCAGTCAATTTAGATATTTTCTTATGCAAACACATTTACTTTGCTTTAAATGATTATATCAACTCTATTTGACCTAGGCAACGATATCACAGCCTCTTTTTACTAGTAGTTTTTATCTATCAGTAATAAGAAAATAAGTCGTTCGAAAAAGGTCCAGCTGTTATCACTTTATTCGTCTTATCCATACAAGAAATGTCTTATTCAAGTGTCAAGCATTTGCCGTCAATAATGGTCTTTTCTAGCATTCTCATCATTTCATTGCAGATATATAATCTGATCGTTTCTTCACTTTCAAAGCAATTCTAGAGGAAAATATTATATTTTTATAAGAATAATAAGAAACCACATGTAACGTGTGTAGCATATTTTTAGCAACTGAAGAAATAGTTTAAAATGACTGAGACTTTTGTATTAGCAAAATCATTACTATAAATTTTGCACTAAATTTATTTGCTAGGCGTACTATAATGAGTGATTGATTTAAGATATGGTTAGCATTTCAGAAATAAAATGTGAGCGATGACTTTGATTGTCAGGAATACTAATATTACGTTTAGTAGAAGTATTACTTGTTTATTTACACCTGTTACTCCTTATGGAGCATTGGGGAAGGGTGAATACGATTCTCTCTCGGATTTTGGTGAATCATGAACCTTGCATTTTCAATAATAATAACCTTTTGCTACATAGTACTTTGAACTGCGATTTAAATTTCTCTTCCAAAACAAGGTTATTTAAATCGCATTTGAATGTAAGGGTGATATTACCAGCTTGTCAGATGCCAGAATTATTGTAGGTCTTAATATACTGTGACCTTTGCAATGGTTTTGGAATTTTGCGGGAAATCCATTCTCCATAAGTGTTTCGCTTAATAGCTTCACCTCGCCTCAAATAGTATTATCTACACAAATGAGATCGATTTCATTAAATCGCTTCTTTATAAAATCATATTTTTATGTAGCCGCACACTAACAGTAAAAAAGGAAATACTGCCTCTTCATGTATTGTATTATTAATATCGTATAGTACCAATAAAGTTCACCTCCTCACTGCAGAATTCCGAAATATCTGATTTTTAATGATTATCTGATTCCTCCTCGTACTCCCGATGGCTTTCAAGATATAGTGTGTACAATAAATATCGTATTTAACTTCATATAAAATTATCACATATACAAAAGTCCGCGGTCTTTTTTGACACTAAAAATGACTATATGATTTTTACTTGACGTTTATCAAGAAAAAAGTAGTCTGGAAATACTAATATTATGTTATCTTAAAACTAAACTGAATTTTAGAGGATACTAAACAACAATCGGGAAATAAATTCACTAAACTATATTCATTGCTAGTGTGACATTTTACTTGCAAGTAACTAAGAACGCATTGTTACAGGGGCTGAAAATCGATAACATTTCCAATTTCTCTAATAGAACATTACCTACATGGGTTCTATGAAAAAACAATGTGAATAATTTCAATAGTTTATTAGCATTAGCCTCTGTTCTTTCATAATGGCCTTGAGGAGTTACTTAATTCGATAACAAGTAAAGAAAACTGTTCTGAAATATACAAATGTCTTATAGATCGTTTAGAGGAATTACAATCCACTTTCGTATATGACTTATTTTGACGTGAACCAATCAATGTTCTGACGTAAATCAATGAAATATCAAACCCATTAGTGTTCGTATAAGGTTACTGGGTAATACTACACTATACATCAAATTAGGTAATGTAAACTACGAGAATGTTACAAACTTGCTGTGTAAAAATGAATTAACCTTAAGGTGTGCATGGCTATGATTCAGTTCTCTATGGAGTAAGGAGAGAACATGGTTGGAAAATTTTAGGCAATAAAACATTCGTTAATTGGGTTCCTAGTTTGTTAAATGCTTAACTACAAACATATTTTTATGGTAATATCGTGAATACTGTGAGTATTATACATAACAACAATAACTTGAAGCTAAGAAACCATTTCTGAATTGATTACTATCTATTTTTCCACCATTTTTCAATATAAGCTTATCAGTATATGATAAGAAAACCCGTTTGCCCCTAGATTTGCTGCTTTTTATAGTATACTGTTTTGGGAAAAAGACCTTCCTTGCGATAAATTAATTATTTCCGTAAAAACGTGTAGTGCACGGGAAACTAACAAAATTTCGTTTAAATCTATGATCTTATTGTCAATAGTTTAATATCTAGAAGGTGAATTAGGCTTAGAAACTTATTACACAGAGATTTGTTGACTAGAGTTTCAAATAACGATCTTTACTAACCTTTCATGAAGTAGAGTTGATATAATAGTTTATTAAAACTTGATATTATTTTAAAACACAACTGTTGTCGTTAAGCATATAAGATAATATTTCGAATTAAATAGAAATAGACGTAATGATATTTTCTTCATAGATGATGGACCTCTATAGATAAAGATATTCAACAGTCCTTAATCTAAGTAACCTATTAGAAATATCAGTTCAAATAATTAATTTTGATATAAAAATCTAATGACCACCTATCAAATATAATGTATCGGCTTAAAGAAAGGGATATTTACTCTCTATAAATGTTTTCTTACTATATTTAGCAGTCACAGATCATGACCCATATATGTAAAAATTGCAAATCTCAGTTCAATACCACTCATTTCATTTTCTTTCTTTTTTTTAAAACAACAGATTAGATGTATACAAAATGTGACATCAGTACCAATTAAAACTGTTTCAAGTTTATATTCAACTGATGTGGAACCTAAACAGAATAAATTAAAATCACCTGTAAATTCATGGAATGAATGGGATCCTTTGGAAGAAATCATTGTTGGAACACCAGAATATGCGACAGTACCACATTTGTTACCTGAAGTGAAAGTAAGTTTTTCTAGTTTAGTTTAAAATCTCTTAAAATTATTTATTCAATTACAGACTAATTTTCATGAAAAACATGTTTGTTTTTATTGGTACACAGTTAATAACTCTCTATATAAGTTAGGTTCTATTACATTTGCATAGGAAGCATCTTATCTGGAATTTTATACATTAAATTCTTCAGTAATAATGATAACATAAGCAAAGGTGGATGATAGTGGCTAGCAGTGGAATCCAGGACGCGCGTTTCGTCCTATTCGGGACTCGTCAGCTGGATGTACCTGCATCTCAGAGTTGATGTTCACTCCGGGACTCGAACCCAGTACCGTCCGCTTCAAACGCCATCGCGTTATCCACTTAGCTACTGAGTCCTGATAGCCACTTGCTTGTGCGATGGGGTGAAGTTTAATTCACTTGATATTGTTTTTGTTTTTCATTTGTTTGAATCTTCCCATTGATGTTTAGGACTGAAATTGTTCAGTCTCTTATTGGCATATGTGCATACTGTGCGTATGCCTCGATACTGCCTTAATTTACAAGCATTATAAGCATTATAAGATTCAAACAAATGAAAAACAAAAACAATATCAAGTGAATTAAACTTCACCCCATTGCACAAGCAAGTGGCTATCAGGACTCAGTAGCTAAGTGGATAACGCGATGGCGTTTGAAGCGGACGGTACTGGGTTCGAGTCCTGGAGTGAACATCAACTCTGAGATGCAGGTACATCCAGCTGACGAGTCCCAAATAGGACGAAACGCGCGTCCTGGATTCCACTGCTAGCCACTATCATCCACCTTTGCTTATAATGCTTGTAAATTAAGGCAATATCGAGGCATACGCACAGTATGCACATATGCCAATAAGAGACTGAACAATTTCAGTCCTAAACATCAATGGGAAGATTCAAACAAATGAAAAACAAAAACAATATCAAGTGAATAATGATAATATGTTATGTGTTTTTAGAGATATAGTAAATCCCCTATCATTCCAATGTTAGTTTTTAGTACATATTTATTTATTTTTACTTCACATAGACTTGTGCTGCAAGTGCTAAACACAATTTCTACATTCAAAATGGAGGTAAATATTGGGCTGATGTTATACCAAAAGAACATTGGCAATTGTTATGCAAACAAGTTGAAGATTTTGTTAAAATGCTTGAATTAGAAGGCATTAAAGTTGTTCGACCTGATCCAGTCGATCATAGAAAGTCATATAAACTTCTTGATTTTGAAACACAAGGTTAGTTGGCATCGTTTTAACTGTTGGTGATTTATTTTACAGTACATAGGCATTTCCTATTTATTACTTTCATTAATTTATTAATTGAAGATCAACAAAACATATTAAACACCATCTCAATTGTGAATGTGTCAGCCAAAACTGAGCATGATTACTTCGTGTCTGATGACCACCAACGACTTAACTAATTTATGTTCATTATCATTTCATTATGAAATGATAAACCAAAAATTTACCGAACGTAATTACCTAGTTATTGTTATGTAAATAATAGCTAACAATAATTCCTTTTGTAAATTCTCTGATTTGGAAGTTATATACTCCTTGTTGAAAGCATCAGACAATTCAATTCATTCCAAACCCATTATTGGTCACTAAACGGACTTAATTCGTATGATGTACTCCCATTTTTAGATGAAAATGAGTATACTTCATAACTCCAGTCTTATTTCATTTGTACCAACATAATGGACAATATATAAAAATTTATAATGCTTAATCTATTTCACAACTAAGCAACAAGACCATATCCAACTTCATTGTGATGCTGTTCATGGCCGATGAAATTTACCATAGAAATGAGGTTTGTCTTGTGCTTATTCGTTACGAGACATTTTTCGTTTTGAACATTTAAAAAAGATGAGGGATTTTTTTTACAAAAAAAACCAAAGTGTTTTATAGTCATATTGGTTTCCTCTAAAATGTTGATCAAACATAATGAAACAGTTTAGTTTATAATATAGAACTTATATACTTGCGACTCTTGAATTCTGACTAAAGATATTATGCCCGTCACTAAACTCGAGGTTTGCACATTGTATCCTTGGTAACGTCGTTCGGGCAAACTGTCCAAAATGGTTAAGCTAGGAAGAAAATGCTATGGCAGAATCAATAATAAAGCGGAAGTGAACTGTCGGAATGGTCCTGTCTGAAGCTTTTGTTGATGTTTTCGTTCTAGAATTGTTAAATACTTAAGATATTTTATCCTTGTATTCTCCTACTGATAAGCTCTTGTTTAACACGCAAATTATTGTTGTGTGTTTCATCATTCCTAAATTATTGTTAATTTATTACGGACCTATTAGTCAGTTCTTTCCCACCTATGACGCAGTTATACGCATATCGTAATTGTTTAGTTCTGTTGATGTGTGGTCAAGATTTGGCTCTACGTTATTGTATGAGTGATTTGTAAATTCGAACTGTATAGTTAGGAGTTGAACGTTTGTTGAGTTATTTGGTTGTTTAGTCTCAGTCTCGACCGTTATTTCACATTTATCGTGTCATTGGTTCTCAGGTCATTATTACTAGACAGACTGACAGTCTATACGAGTTAATCGATACTGCAACTAGATCAGTACATCTGTTTTTCAGTCTGATATCAGGGATCCAAAAAAAGTATGTTTATTTTCACGAACAAATCAAAAACAAATGCCTAGTCTTTTCTAATTTTCAATAGATCTTCGGTTAACGTCACTTGGTGATGAAAATAATTTTCCAGTTAAATATCCTTCACTCGCCATTCTAACTTTCTATTTATTTGTCTTCCACAAACACTCATATTCAATTCTTACGACTTTTAAAAAAGAAAATAATCTACTCGCTGAGTTTATTTTATCGAATGCGAAACATCGAAACCTTTTGTCGATTGCTGTAACTAACTATTGAAATTTTAATTTTTTTTCCTTCGCCACTCACTACCTATTTTTTATACCCAAACTTTTGTATGCAGGCTTCTATGCTGCTATGCCAAGAGATTTCTTATTAATTGTCGGTGATGAAATAATCGAAGCGACAATGACTTGGAGATCAAGATATTTTGAATATTTGGCCTATAGACCACTTGCTTTAAATTATTGGAGACAAGGAGCCAAATGGACAATCGGACCTAAGCCAACAAATTTTTCCAAATTAATAAGAGTGAGTTATCAATAATTCCTGTCTACAATCATTATTGTTTCAGAAGTAACCCCATTCAGTAAAGAAATTTTTTTCCTTTAGACTGAATCTTTTATTAAAACTGGACTGTTGTCCACTCGTTGAAGTGGATAAGCCACTTATTTGTCATCGCGTTGAACTTCATTTGATATTTGATGATTAAAGTTATTTAACAAAAGGATACGGAATAAGATTTTGTATGTGTTGGTACAAAATAATGAGATTTGTGCTTAACCTTGATAAACCTCATGTCCCTGAAAAATAGCGAAATCATTTTACTGAATAAAGTAGTCAAAACGATTATGGCAGTGATTGATAGATAGCAGTATTACTAATTGCACTATAGTAGTCATTAAAAATACTTGGAGTAGTCCTACAAGAAATCACTTGAGAATGACGATTGAAGAGTACAGCCTGAAAAAAATGAGTTTCCATCAGTTTTAAAATATATGGAATGCCTATTTACCAATGCGTTTGATATTTAAATGAATACTATAGACAGTCATTCTGTTTTCATTTTCACCAAGCAGTTGATTCTATGACTAATTGAAGAGTTTGGATTTTTCATGTTACGTTTATCACTGCAATCAATCAGTCATATTTTTTAAACTCCTAATTTTGACCGATATGGTCTCTGTGCAGATTTTATTTTTTAAAGACTGGCCTAACTCAAAATATTATTGTAAACCAGGGAGCACTAGTTAGCTGTCTCATTGTAATTAAAAGTAGTGGTTAGTTTTGTTCAGATATGTTGGGACTGAAACAGTTGTAATTAATGAAATTGGATAATCATCTCAATTTGATACAAATTAATTGATTTTCAAAATATGTGCCATTGGAGGCGGGTCATGCAACTGTAATTGTTCATCGCTGTCCATGAGAATTAAAGGACCTGAATTCAATCCTTTACATGTCCACGGATTCACAGATTCAAAGAGTTTTATATTTGAACAGAACTGCTATATGGTACCCTCTGATTTTCAGTTGTACTTCAGCTGAAATTATTTTATGATGAATAAAACCTACAAATTAAATCGATTTCCACAAAATTCCTTCAACTAAAGATATAGTTCCTCTTCAATTACTCAAAAACATTAAATGAGAAGATCTATTCTTTGCTTCTTGATTTTAACTCAGTCAGTCAGCTACAACATAGGACCAGGCACATATATACATCGGTCCAAGTCGCCATACCTCATTAGCACAACAAAATGAACACCGGATTCATAGAAGCAATTAATTCAATGGTGTTAATATATAAAAGAAAGATTGCATATAAAGATTTAGTACAGGAAGAAAGAATTAGTTGGTAGAAAGAAAGGTAGAAAGCCATTTTAATTTCACAGTTTAAGGAAAGACAGAGAGTGTATACACCTACTCCGTTGTGATCGATTCTGAGCCATATCATACCAGAGTCTCCAATATTTTAACCGATTTGTCTAACTGATTTTAGCAGACACAGAAGACTAATGACCACTTATTCATTTGACTGAATGGAAATGTTTAAAGATTTTTTTTGAATAAAACAACATTTTCACTAAGTAATTCTAGCAAAACCAAATGATGTTGACGGTAATGCTTTAAAACTAAATTGTAAGGTCGAAATTAACAAATTTTAGAGCTCGTAATATAAACAAAAACTTAGATAAAAATTATATTTGAAAATGTCTTAATGATGGAGATCAAATATTTTCAAATTTATTTGTCTTTCTGGTTGAAGCCTCTTCAAGAGAATATTGAAAACTGAAATTATGAAAGATAGATAAGTTTAATAGGATCTTTATATCAACATAGTGCACGCAATGTCGAGTCACCTAGACTAGTGGCCACATTACAACTTGGTCGATAGCATTTGATCTGAACTAAGAAGGACTTCACGCACATGACATTGATCACCACCCAGTAATCATTCAATTGTGGATCTTTATATTAAACAATTGTGCTACAAATTTGGCTACTTCTTATAGCATGAATTCAATTGACTGTTAAGTGTATTGAAATTGTTGTATATGATATATATGTTGTGTGGATTGAAACAGTTTACAGAAAGCACTAGATATAACCTCCAGGCTAGTTATTACACGCTTTTAAGGTGCATATCTAATCTTGAGGGAATTAAAAGTGTTTGTAAAATCCAAGCTCGCATTACTGACCATCACTGTCCAACCCGGTAGTATTGAGCGATACGGTTGCGATTGAATTCCTATGGAACTGATATATTTTCACTGAATGATCACTGAGTAGTATCCAGTGTCATGTGTATCTATTCTGTAATTCTATTCACATTTACTAGCTTCCATGATTTGACTTTGTGTACACTAAATATTTTTGTGTTCGGTGGTTTTAGGCAATCTATATGAAGTCATGAACCTGTATTAGGTGCTAGATGAAACTTTTCACGAAAATATATCTGCAGTTAATATCAAACTGTTTAAACTAGTAACTACGTAGGAACCTGATCGAAAGCTAATCGGTTACCAACAGGCCAAGCACGACTTTGGTTACATTATTCATTGAAAACCTCTATCATTGTATTTTTTATCTGTATTCATGAAACTCCAGTGCTTCCAAGTTTTCAATGGTGGTCTAATATCAATCGGTTCATGATCTCAATCAATAAATTAGATGTATTAGTTAAATAAAAATAGTGAAATGTTTGCGTTTACTTACGCCTGTTACCCCTCATGGAGAGTATAGACCACCTACCAGAATTCTCATTCCAACTTTATCCTCCGTTCTCCTCTCCAATTATTTTGAAGTTTTATTCATCCTATTCATGTCTGCTTCCAATTCTTAACTCAGTTTGTTCCTTAGTTTTCCTCTTTTTTCGTTTCCCTTCACGATTCTAAGCTAACGCTTGCCTCGTGATGCAAATGAAATGTTTAATTGATCTATATTTGATCACATGAAGCAAACATGATAAATGAGCAACTGTGATAAATAAATTTACAATAGAGTTGATTTCATTTAATGTTATTAAAAAAAAGACAACTAATTTTCATTATTCTTGTCCCATGATAAATAATCAAATTTAAGAATATTGGAAATTAAATTAAAAACCACAACAAAGTTGATCTACATATTTCAATATTTCTGATTGATTGATGAACAGAATATAAAAATAAGGTATTTGATAAACGTTTCCTGTAGGACTAGATATTTTTTATTCGTTTCTGTTACTCGTGTGTATGTGTGTATATTTATGCATATTTGTTTTCACTATACATCTACTCTGATATGCCACCATATTGATGTTCATTAGGCCTTAAGAATAGAAAGATGACATCGTAGTGTCGGCTGTTATACTAAGCCCACATAGCTTATGCTAGCTTTCGGACAGACCAGTTTATTCGTTCTTCTTGAGCCATATTTTGGCTTTTTTTTAATTATTCGCTTATCAACTTTGATTGTTTTTATGTAAGCGTATATATGTGTACTTTTTATTCATCACATGTTTGTAACTTATTCTAGTCTGACTATCAACATCGATAAACGCTCGACTAAATTGAGTTGACTTACATTCTTTCTGCACCGCGCATCATTTCGCTTCTCTCTCTTCTCTTCGCTTCGTTTCTCTGATAGCTCATCTGGATCAACGATTGTATGAAATACACGTATTTGGAATTCATTCTCGTATTCGACTTATTTAATTCCGTTATCCATTAACGCGAGTTAAGTCGATGATCATATACGAGGATTGGTGACATGTATATTTCAATAACAATCATTCTTACGATCCAATTGGATTCAGATATAGGGATACTAAAGTGGTGAGCCTGTCAACAACATCGTCCCATCTAATTGGCGTTAAAATAACGGGCCACAGAGTACTTATGATGTTTCTTTAAATCCGTTTTTTAACAAAACTAAGTGCTATTTAATTCTAGAAATATGCAAAATTCAAAGCAGAGAATTATTAATATTATTTCAAGTAAAGACGTTCACACCATTCAATGTAGTTTCATTGTTTACGTAATAATGCTTTTATTAAAAACGAACAAATGCCACTGAAAATATTTCACAAAATTAATTTTGAACAAGGAAATATGCAGAATTTAACTTAAACATTTATACATTTATATATATTCATTCGAAGTTTATCAATATATTTCATGAATTAATTGTAAAACTTTGAATATCGGTTTAACGAAACATTCAAAACATTTCATTAATGATTGAACAACTGTTACAATTTTTTTTTTAATTTTGTCTATTAACATTTACCTAGGATGAACCTATTAATGTAGGTCTCAGTGATGAATATAATCCAGATTATGGAAAAGTGACAACAGAAAGTGAACCATGCTTTGATGCTGCGGACTTTATACGTGCTGGACGGGATATTTTTGCACAAAGAAGTCAAGTAAGTATTTTCTTCTCCTGTCATTTAATTAATTTTCTTTTCCAAATGAATGGATATGAATATTAAGCATTCATATCATATATTGTGATTTTTTTCGCTACATCGAATATCATTTTCGGTAAACAGTATCAGTACGTCATTAAATAATAAAGTCATATAATTCAGTGGAACAAATTTCTTTTCAACGATATTGCTAACTAAAGCTGTAGTGGAATAATAGATCAATTCATAGTGTTTGGATATGTCAAATATCAAAAGAACGTAACGTAATGATCTTGATGTGAAATGAAAATGGGAAAACAAAAAATAATTTAGTAGTAGGAAATATGAGGGAAGGTAAAATAATTAACAGCTCAATACAGAAAGATTCAATCAACTCCCTCCCTCCATAACTATCTTTCGAAATGCTCCACATGATCAAACGAGGGTGACCGAATGTAGGTCGAATCAAAAGCCTGTGAACTCCCAAGGCTTTGACAATTCACCTGTTCAGTACTGAACTCTACGTCCGAAAGCAACAGGCTCAATCACTCATCTTTTTTGTAGCCCTAATATTTCTTAAATCATGACGGAACAGGTATTGTAGTAGTTGAAACTGATTTTTCAAATTATTATTAATTATAATTTCGTTGCATAATTACTGAGATACCAGGTTATAATGTATACATTTCTTATCATCAGAAGATTCTTTTGGACCAATAACTACTTTTGTACGATTTGTTATTCCTAATTACTTTTCAGTCTATTACTCACAATCTCCTCTATTCACAGACACTTCTGACTTATTTTTATATTACTGTTAATAGTTCTGATCGGGTGTGTAACTGACCAAGTTGGAGACACTGAGCTATGTATTGAATATCAGACCAAATTATGATCAGAATTCTGATTGGTGTCTTGTTATATGATATTAGTCAGGCGGTCTACAAGACCTCATACCTTCAAGTATATTATAGTCTTATTATGTCTTACATTTTAGCCAGTATTCAGCTATTACTACCTTATTAGAAATTTTCAGATCTGTTACTCAATTGTTATTACCATCTTTACTTTTTTATTTGTTCTTCATTTCTGTCAAGTAGGCAGCTATCTCGTATGTTTCTGACCCGTAAGTTATTTTCATTTACCTATTTTCTTTTGCCTCAAGAGCATAACGTTACCTTCTTTTGATATTTGACATATCTAAACACTTTATGAATTAGTCTCTTTCTATTCTTCCATAAACTCATATATTCACTAAGTCACTATAAATATGATTATACAGCTTTAATGAGTGAAATAATCTTAAAAGAAGAGTTTTTGCTGAATTACCTTAATTCTTTATTCAAAATCAGTTCACAATTGACAATCAAGACGTAATCATATGTATTGAATAACTATTTACTCCAGGTTTAAAATAACTTGAAGGTCTATATCTTCAATTAGTTCTCAAATTGAATAAAAAAATCTTTTAAATTTTTCAATGTTTTTTTAATTTTTGTAAAGAATGTGAAGTCATTAACTTGTACAACGATGGTTGTTATTGAAATGTAAAATGAATTATAAAAAGGAAATTTACAAGTTGAGTTTTATTGACAAATAGACAAGAAAGAGTTTTTCAAGATAACCTTGACTTTTTCCAATATTCTTAATAAGAGCATATCCTAACTGTACTTACTAGTATAATATTAATAAACTATAAAGAAGCTAAGCAGAGATGGAATTCACGAAGTGCGTTTTGTCCTGTTTGGAACTGGTCAGGTGGATGTACTTGCAACCGAGAGTTGATGTTCACTGCTTATAACGCTTACGACTTAATAAAACTATCGAGGCAGTCCGCAGAGGATGCCCATATACCAAAAAGATAGTGACAAATTACAGTCGGCGCCATTAATTAGACTATTTAAACAGCTAATACAAAAGACTTATAAAGAAGATAGTTTCTTGCTATTCTGAATTAATAAATGAAGTTTAACATATTACATTGTATTTTGAATAATAGCTAACATTGGAATTCAAGCTGTTTTGTATGTGACTATCATCAATTGAATGGATGTACTTTATTAGCATTGTCAATTATACAAAGTACCAAGTTTTATAATCATTAATAGTTTACGATTTCATTAGTCAGGCCAATCTAACTAAAGTTGCTACATATTAAATAAAGGATTCTCAATTGAGTTTGATAGGTTTACTCTAAGGTAAATTAAAGGTGTATAGAAATGGCAATCAGATTATGTTTAGCCGTGTGAAAACATTAGTTTCCATAAGAAATGAATTTGCTATATGTTTTTGTTATGACCTTCAATCTCTTAAAATTCCATTTAATTAGGTAATAAAATTAGATAGTTCATTAGTTGCAAGTGCTCTTACGCTGATCAAATCAGTAACTCTTTTCAAAATCAATAACACAACTGACCTCCCACAATAATCATAACCCCCTTAACTCCTATTAGTCCATACATTTCCTTCTGTCTTCTACAGCTAGTAAAAAGATGAAGACAAGTCAGTATTTACCTTATTACTGTATTTTCTCATCATTTTGCTGACTAAAAAAATCCACGGAATGGTATACTTCAATAACACGGTGATAACACTCCACAAATAAGAAATTAAAATATTTACATGATTAAGCTAAAACTGCGCAATAGATTTTTGATAAATTAACGATAATTGAAGGACGGCAAAATATATAACAATAGTTAATAGATGAAATGAAAGCTTACAACAAGAGTTATACGAAAATACAATAACCTAAGTATTTAATAATTAAATAGTAAGAATATTTATTACAGCTCTTAGTAAAGCACTTCTAAAAGTCCTATCTCTCCCAATTATTCATATTAATCAATCAGCTTTATTTCATTGCACAACTAAGTGTTGTGAATACTAACCATAATTCTAAGTACCTATAGTTCTTTCGCTTGCATGAGAGAAGTTTAGGAAGAGCAGAACTATAGAACTGTAAATAATTTCTCTTGAGATACTTTTATACGTTTAAGTATACAACTAGAGAAATAATCCCCATTCAAATCAAAGTGATTTGATTAAAAATATCTATTAGGTGAAGTAAACGGTTTTATTGCTTATATTTAATGTATCCTTTATAATCTTATCATACAATAAGTATTTATCCTTACGATTTTGAGTGATATATTATAATTACTTTGATCTTTATTCTTGTTAGGTCACAAATTTATCAGGAATCGAATGGGTTAGAAGACATTTAGAACCTCGTGGTATAAAAGTTCATAGGCTTTCATTTGTTGATCCAAGACCAATGCATATTGATGCAACATTTACTTTAGTTAAACCTGGTATAGCTATTCAAAACCCTGATCGTCCGTGTCATCAAGTTGATATTATCAGAAAAGCCGGTTGGCAAGTTATCAATGCACCACAACCATTAATGAAAAAAGGTGAGTACAATACATTTTAGATCGACCGAATATAGTTACTGAAATAGTGGGAATCACTTAATTGCAAACGTTTAGCAGTAAACAAGTATGCCGATCGAACAATGTAGATTGGCTAGATAGAACGATATCTTAACAGTTCATAGACTTGATTTTTAATCAGTAGACGGCATATTAAGCTTCGATTGAAACTGTGTAATCACATTAGCTATCAAACATTGGTGTCTTTTATAAGTGAATACAGAGACTTCTACCAAAGTAATAAGTTACTTTAACAATTAGTATCACTACATTTTTATTTTCATTATTTAATATTTGAATATATCTTAAATTTATTATTATGGTTGAATAGCAGAGATTAATTACTATTCTTAAAATGTTTCAAAATACTCGCTCAGCTATAGCTTATCTGAGAGTAAATGGTTATCTCGGACGGAAAAATTCACTATCTCCTTATTTCAAAGGCTAAATAAAGAAGTATTGTCAATACACTATATCTAAGGTTTTTAGAAAGAGTATATCTACACGGTATACTAAAATGAATGTAGATAAAGAAATAAATAGCAGAATCAGTAGCTACGAAAATTGTATGCGGTGTAGAAGCGACCTGCAGACACAGGTTAGTAATCATGATTCATTGACAAATAATTGGAATATTCATTACTTTATTTGGTATTAAATAATAGATTGATTTGCTATGAAAACTATCTGTCTTTCTTATTCTTATGTTTTGTGTGCAAATCAATTAGTTTTCTATCAATCAAGTTGACTTTATGGAGCGTCCTTCAAATAGCCTTTACACTTCATGTGATTCATAGATAGCATCTGAGTACCGAAATACAAAATATACATGGTCGGTACTGAGGAGGTGCACTATGCAAGAGTAATATAAAGTAATTATTTTCTAGTATCAGGTTTCAATCTGTCATATTCCCTGTCAGTGAGAAGATTTTGAAATATTGAGCATAACCTTTTAAAATAAAAAAAAGGAAGTTTTAATGTAAAATAACTCCCTACTTTTTATTTTTTAATATATAGATCATGAAATGTGGCTTGGTTCCAACTGGTTATCAATGAATGTCTTGATGCTAGATCAGAATAGAGTAATTGTAGAATCTGAAGAGACAGGGATTCAAGAAATGTACAGAAGTATAGGAATTAAACCAATCAATGTAAAATTTAAATATGCCAATTCGATTGGAGGAGGGTTTCATTGTTGGACGTGCGATATAAGACGGCAAAGTAAACTTGAATCATATTTCGACTGGTCCAAAGGTGAAATACCAAGAATTTGAAATATATATATTTGCAATAAACGGATGTAAAATGTAGAGACGTTTTTGATTTTCTTTTTGTATTATTGTTATTGTTAAAGATAAATATAATGTATTTGACTTGTAGAAATACAAATATAATCTAACATTAAAATTACGACTACATGTTCTGTGGTTTATTCTATGGCTATTGGATTCAGAAGTGGTTGACAATTTAATACCTGTATGTGACTCCAATATAACTGGACGACAATGGTGCTACTGAGGTATATAAACTATTTGGCTAATGACATTGATACAATATAGGAATAAAACGTCGGGTTGAATCTATGACATGTATATAAGTATCAGTGCCATGGTTGAATTTGATAGTTCCGAAGAGAATGAGGATTGGGTAGAAAATTAATAATAAATATATTTTTGCTATATCCCAACAGGTAGAAAAGTTGTATTTCTGACCTTTCATGACTTAATGTAAGCCACTTCTTCAGCGTAAATAAATAACCCATTATCTACTCATTGGCATATAGCAAAAATATATTTATTATAAGACGAGTATAAATTGAATATTCATGCTAGCAGAGGAACTTAACAAATAGATACACGTTGGGGGGCCATCTTTACGCTGATTCCGTGAACTAAGTTTATTAAAACAGTCAAAGAGCACTATAGGTAAATGGAGATAGGCATGGATCCTTTTAGTAAAAGCAATAACGTTACAATTTAAAAAATTCAAGTCGTATGTCACACAATTATTTGCACGTCATGTTGATTTACGATCCTATCAGAGCATAATTGTGTCACTAGATTTAACTTTCTACCTGGAGCAATATGTACTTGTAAAGTGTCTCTGCTCAAGAAACACACCAAATAATAAACCACAGAAAGTTGAATGTGATAATCGTCCAAGTAACGTTATTTTAGATTATGTCTCGTGGACCCCCTAACCAAATCACGAGACAGGGCACCAATCAGAATTCTGGTCATAATTTGGTCTGATATTCAATACATAGCTCAGTGTCTCCAACTTGGTCAGTTACACACCCGATCAGAACTATTAACAGTAATATAAAAATAAGTCAGAAGTGTCTGTGAATAGAGGAGATTGTGAGTAATAGACTGAAAAGTAATTAGGAATAACAAATCGTACAAAAGTAGTTATTGGTCCAAAAGAATCTTCTGATGATAAGAAATGTATACATTATAACCTGGTATCTCAGTAATTATACAACGAAGTTATATTAATTATTAATTTAGAAAGTCACTTTTAATTACTGCAATATTTGTTCCGTTATAACACTTTAAAACGTTGATAAAATAGTTTAGTTGAAAGCTCAAAACAAGTATGACCTCTGTTAATGTCAATTATATAAATCAGATGTTGTAAGCGAAAGTGACCTGAACACGATTTAAGCATTGAACAATGCTAAAATGTCATTTTTGTGCGAGTATACATGTAATGATGTTTGACAAAATGAATTTAGTACATATATGTTTAACAGTATAATAAACTTCAAAGATTAGTAATGATAAGCTTGAACAGAACGAAGTGAATAGTCACAGGCGAGTAAATAAAAAATCACTAACAAACAGTTATATCTTTTTGGGTGTCAGGGAATTACTCACTGAAGACAATGGAAGGTGATCATGCAGTATCGTGGACTGACATTAACACCTTTGGATCTCGACTCATTGGTCTGGAGGTGAATGTTCGCGAGCGAGAAACTAGGTCCCGGGTTCCATTCCTTGTGGAGGTTTCATAGTCACGCACTGCTGAAATGTCCCATATAGCCATCCAGTGCTTACAGCTTTTCAATGGTGATCTCTCATGAACTAGATATTCAGGGTGACAGTCCCATACTTTTCTACATTCTCTGATACATTATTATCCCCTTTAGCTTTATTTGTTTCGGCTACAAGGTTTGAGGGATGTTAGTATCCGTTTTCAATGGGATAAGGTCAATATAGATGTAGGGCCAATGAAATCTTACTCCTTTTCCATTTATCTCTTATCTACAAAAAGTCTGTCGAACATCGGTAAGGTCAAGGGTAGCCAACGAAGAATAGTCAGTTGCATGTCATGGATTGGTCACATTCTATTTTTTCCACATATTCTTACCAATACATTGCTTCTATATCGCCGTGTTTGTTCTACATAGTCATCAAAGTAGCTACAGTTGCTGGATACTGTGCAACGGTACTTTGCCTTCGGTATTGACTGCGAGGTGTGACTTTAACGTGAGTTTTGAGGTCAGACTATTTCCGTTCAACTATTTTAGATAACTACAATCCGCATAGACCGCCTACGTTAATGATATACAACTATGACTTTGATTATGTTGCTTAAGCCCAGTTCATGATTAAATAGAAACTATGGCATTGCCGAGCCATCGTCTTCCTACTATGGAGTCAAAATGTGTAAGGACCTTTAAATCTTTCCAACAATAAACAGGGATCAGGCTTTATTAGTTCCTTAGTGCATGATTCACAGCAATATCACTATAAAAGATTATATCAGTTTAATTTAAATGTAACATTTCTAGCCCCATTACTCACAAATAAGTATTACTCATGAACTCTGAGCGGATCTTCATACAAATAGAACAAATGGAAGCTTTCAATATCAAGATAACTCATTTGAAATAAGATCCTAATCTTTTGAGCGGGGTGAAAACCTGTACGACAAAAAGCATATTGGGGAAACCAGCCTTTATTACTTTGCTGGTTTTGCTATGGGTGGGGTGTTTTTGTAGACTCGTCTCAAGGTTGGATAACAGCACAGAAGTATTTCACTTAATACTGTATTTAGTGCGATCTTGTCTCTTTGAGTAATTAATTTTTTCCACGAAGTCTTTGATAGACGAATGGATTTATCCTTAGTTGTACTTGGAGAATATATTAGAGCTGTTATATTGTACTCTGAAAGGTGATGTCGGTGATACTCACGTCATCAGCATTCATTGAACTCTTTTTCCTTTTATGTAGTTTCTTATATGGCTGAGAGAACATACAAGGATGATAATCATCATAACAATCTCCTGTATCATGAGGAAGTCTGTATAACTATAATGTGAAGAACATTATAAAATACCTATAAACACTAACCCGAGTAACTTTATTAACATTATGATGGATAATTGTGAACTGAAAAAAAATAACGAACGTAACTAGGGAAAAGTTGGTGAACAACGCAATGCCGAATTGTAATTACTCTGTTTGTTTAGCGACACAAAATGATTGTTACACTAGCTACTGTCATTTGACAAGGTCGACCGCTGGGTTTAGAATACATGGCTGGTGACCGGTGCGGATGTTGTTTTCTAATTGAGTTGTAATACCTGTTACTGTCATTATAACTAGTTGGCTGTACTTTTGATTTATATCTCAAACCCATATCCATTCAACTGTGATAAAACATCAAAGTATTCCATCTGATGACATTTGAAGAAAAGAAAATGTCATGGCTATAATAAAACTGAATATTAACGTTTAAAGTATACTGTTTTCAACAACGTGTCACTCCTTTGGGGAATGATCCGGTTATAAAGCTACTAATAGTAGAAAGTGGCGATATTGCAACAGACGTATATTGTCATGTGAAACTGCTTATTCAAACAGTTTTACATGGTGATAAAGCAGTTACATATTGAATTATCTATTAAGGTAAAGGAACAAGTTCAGATTAGTCGGATATGGATTGGAAAGTATAGTCGTGGCAAAAATATTCGTTTTCGAGTTTGTGAACTGATGCTAAAAATGTTACGAGCTAGAGTTTTTATGAAAATTACTTATTTCTCACACAAACAGTCTTAACTAGACCCTAAAACATATGACTTATGCCCAACCAGTTTCAGATATTCAGATCTAGTCTGCATCATGTGCAAGTGGTTTCTGTGTTTTACAATATCACATTCAATGTAGTAACATAATAACTGTTTTCACTAATTTTGGTCATCTTAAGAACTAGATATAAGCAATTTTCACTCAGACTCTGGCACAATGCAAATTACTTACAACTGTGTTCTGAAATCTTCCAGAAATTCGAGTGACACTAAATTTAGTGTGACTATTTCGTCAGTGTGTTATACTTCCGGCATCTTTTACCAACTCCTGAGCTTAACTCTACTAACTCGATTTCATAGGCATAATTTCTGACCATACACAAACTACTAGCTCTTGACACCAACCTTTGTTTTATTTTAGTAACGCTCATATCATGTAAGAAGTGTTTATTTACCGTAATTTTACTTTTTCCTAGTTGCAAATCGTTGCAGAACTAAATGCTTTTCTGATTTGTTGATAAGTTGCTAAAAGGTATTCAGTTTAACATAGTTATGCCACCTTTAGGTCTAGCTCATTCGTGCTGCAGTCATTGGGGGTTTAGTTAAAAATGACGGAGAGACAACGGCGTTTGTTTTCTATCTTTTCGATATCTTATTGTACTGTTTTGTTTGTTAGTTCATAAGCGAATTTTAACAGAGGGTTCCTCATGGGGCTTTTATTTTTGGCTTCGAAATTAGCTTTGTACATCGGTAAGAACACCATTAGCTGCTCTTGTGTATCCAAATAAACGATGGGGAAATCCCGTTTACTACCCATACTGGCTAGGTGATGTCAAAAAACACTAGGACCTTTTATGTGTATTTTAAAAGCACAGAAAACATCGGTGACTCGTGATTTTAGTCTTAGCTAATCAGCTTTTTTGGTTGATTTTACATTACTTACTTACTTGAGCTTGTTACTCCGCTCACAAAGCTTCACCGAACTGTGCTCTGGGCAATTCTTTCCATCCACCATCTATAATTTTGGTGCCTGCTACCAATTACTGCCGTAATATATTCCTTCGTCTTCTTCTTTTTCCTCTTCCCTGTAGGATTCTAATTTAGGGGTTTCCACAATGCATTTTCTATCCACCTCCAACATCTTTTTCTGATTTAGTCTTGAGCTGGGAGTTGGCTTGTTCTCTCCCACAGTGGGTTGTTGCTGATGCTGTCCGGCCAACGGACATAGGTTATCTTGCGTGGGCAATTGTTTGTAAATACTTTTACTTTTTTCATGGTTGTTATGGTTGGTGTCTTATGTCATGTATTTAAGGACCATGCTCTTTTCATTGTGTATTTTTGAGGCCTACTTCTGGAGAGGCTGCTGCTAAATTGG